AATGTTGATAAATACTGATGTTATGATGTTTATCTTAAAAAGAATCTTGCCATCCTACAGAGAAGCAAAAAAGCACAAATAGAAGCTTATCCAGAAATTGAATAGATCAAAACAATTTATAGCATTCAAGTCACACAGAACGGAAAAAAGGTTACATATTGGATAATGAAACGAACACTAATCCTAATATGTTAGAATTTCATTGATTAAAATAGACATTTTAATCAAGTAGTTGCAATGAATTTTTAATAAAAGTCATCATATAACTTAAATGGAAATGTATATTTTAATTACTAAAAATAAAAATGATCAATTTTAGTGTTTGTCTCATTATCAAATGTATTATATTTTTAAGTCTTTCAATGATAATCTTTTTTTTTTATATATCGAAGACTTTTATTCAATATGATTCATTCTTAAAATAAGTTAAATTCAATAAAACGTCAAAGTTTTAAAGACAAGATTATTTTCAATTGTTTTATGTCAATCAGAACTCTTTAGAAATATTCTACTACAATGAACTGTTTAGTTTTGAAATTTTTTTTATTGAATTTAATTATTGTGCAACTAAATTAGTTTAATAAAAAAAAACGAAAAGACCTTTCTCTATAAAAGTGAAAGTTAAAAACCTTGAAGAGATTAAAATTTAAAACAAAATAGAACTATTTTCTTGTGAATCGACACTATGAAAGTAGTTGACAGAATAACAAAAAAAAAAAAGCTGCTCTATGGAGTAGATAAGCAAGGTTTTATGTTTTCTTCAATAGATTCTTCATCCTAATTAACAATTAGTTTTGATAGTGACCTAAATAAAGAAATATGATTAGATTAGAAAATCTTTTGCTGATTATGAATATAAAATAATCAGTGCTATACAATATAAATCATTTTAAATCTAATCAAATTAAAAATTATCTCTTAACGAAGAATAAAATCTTATCAACAAAGTTTGCATTCAATAATTTTATTTTTTCGTTGTTAACATTGAATTTTTTAGAGTTAGATCAATCGATTATTTTATAGATCAACAAAAGTGAACATGATTATTGATCTAATTGATAGAGAACATCATTGTGTCAATGTCATAATGATGTTCATTGGGAAAAATACAAGATAATTTATCATAGATTAATAGTCAATTAAGTCTTCTCTTAAATATATATTCAATGATTGTATAAAATTTAAACTTATATTCGCATCAATTTATAAATATTAAAAATATAAATTCATTTTGATGACAATCTTTGCAAAGAGTCATATGATAATTGTTTCATTTCATATTATACTATCGGAACTAAAATGTCTTGTCTAATACAGTAGTTATATTGATACTCTTCCAAAAGGTATGAAGGAACGAAAATGAACTATGAAAAACGTTGATTCATCCTTTATGTTTATACAATAAAATTTCTCGATCGAGATCTCTTACTAATCAAATAGGCACAATCATTATTTATTATTTTTAAATAAACTTTTTCAGATTATCGAAATAATTAAATATTTTATATAGCTAAGATAATTCTCAAACTGTGAAACAATTTATTAATTAAACACATCGATTTGAAATCTTTAATATATTTTGATATTTTACATACAAATTTTTGAAATACACGTCAAGAATATTATATCCACTTATTGAACAAACTGAATTCATAATTTTATTCGATAATGATATTTGTCAAAAAATCGAAATAAAATAGATTTTTTTACTTTTAAATGTTTAATTTCATTTATGTGATAAATAATTTAAAAAAAAACAAGAAAATAATGGCTATGATAAACTACATAAGAAATAATTCAAAACTATTTAATAATCTTCATCATATAATCTAAACTTAAAATGAGTTGATCATTTTTTTCGAAATAAAAAAAACCATGAAATAACGAAATTTTTCTAATATGAGAAAAATAAAGACTAGAAACTCGTTTTACTGACTAAAACGTGTTATTATCCTTAGAACATGTACAAATTTATATCATAATCTTTAAGGTTTCCTAAAAAATCGATCTTATTTCAGATAGATTCAAGTCGCGTGAATTTTTCATCCATATGTCACGATGCTTTCGAAAGATATTCAACAAAAAACTCACTAAAATAGCTTATTTAGCAACCGAAAATTCTCTGTCTGTTCTCATTCTTGATACTTTTTTTTTTTCTCGTCTTTCAGAGAATATCAAGATGCAGGATATGATAGAACTCTTTTTTTAGTTTGAACTTCTTACCTTCTATCAGAACAAAACAGATAAAAAACTGAATGTCCTGAAAAATTCTAAAGAAATGACGTTCTAATTATAAATCTACTCGTCTGTTAACAAAGATTAATTCAAAAAAAAAAGACTCTTTATCATGTTCTTCACTTGACATACTTCTTCAAACAAAGAAAATCCTATATATATATAATGAAGGCTTGCAACATGTTCTAGATGAAGCAATTAAAAAAGAATGAATAGAAAAAAAAAAAAGAGAAAAAGATTTTCCACTTTTTTTCTAAAAAAAAAAAAAAGTTTTTTTAACCCAGAAAATGTGAGAAATTATCAAAGATTTTTATCGAAAACTGACGTATCAAATAAAAAAATCACGTCGTTTATGAAGGACCAACTAACGAATTATCTTCCCATGTATTATTTCAATTTCAACTTTTTTAACGACAATTAACTCGTTTTGACAGATGGAGGACTTCATTTACGCATTTTTTTCGATCTCTAAATCTATATTCTATCGAGTTAAATCAGTTTAGAGATAAATTATGCGATATATTTTTTTACGAAACTCTGCTAGACATAAACATTGAGTCAAATTAATGAAGGATTATATATGGTCAAAATTGTTGAGAATTCTACTCGAATATAGAACAATTTATATTAACCATTTGAAGATTCTATGTAAATTTTCATAGATTTTTTAAAATAAATAATGACAAGGGTACATGGTATTTGCCTGGCAAACAATAGAGGTAGGATCATCGAGGGTGTGAGTGTGCATTGATATGCTTATTCGTCACCCTCCTACATTAGCACTTTCTTACTTAAGACTAATCAAATATTCAGAGATTCGTCAATATTAAGATCAGAACTGTTCTCATTGTCGAACAATTATTACAGTTTGATGATAGTATATTTTCATAAGAAACTTTCAATGAATTTATAAAAAATCATTTGAGCTTTTTAAAGCGTGTGAAATAAATCCTAAAATAATCTGTATGATAATTTAATGTTTGAAAATTTTCTTTATACTCGATTAATTCAAATGTAAAATAAACTAAATAACATTTTGTTTAAAAAGAAAAAGATGAGAGAAAAAAGGAATGTTTGTGTACCATTTGCTAGTCGTTTTAGTCCTAAATGGTTATCAATTTATCTCAAATTTGTATATCTTCTAAAATTAATTCGAATTTTGATATAGTTATTCATCTTGAGAGCATACTCCTTAGAGAATCAAACTAATAATCAACTCGATATATCTAACTAAAATTGCTTATAAACAAAATTTATTAGAGATACTATGAGCAATTTTTAGACGGTGTGAGTGGGCATTATCTTCAGGCACATTCACATCCGATTAGCAAATATAATTATCTCACTTTTATTATGTGAGAAAACTAAGATATGTCAATGATGAAAAGTTTTGAAATAGAATGGTTCAAGATGAATTTTTTTGTTTGTAAAGAAAAATAATTCCATAGAAACACAATGAGCATCTGCAGAATAGGTTCTTCTTATGAAATTTACTTATTGAATAAAATCGATTCATATTTAATTAATTTAGTTGAAAATGACTATTCATTATTAATTAAATCATTATTTGAAGTAATAAACGACGTTTTTCTTTGTTTGTTTTTTCACACAATTTATTTCATAAGATATTTTCAACAAATTAAAAGCTGTACAAAATCCATTAAAAATATTTGTTTCAGTGATAATTTTATTTGTATAAATATAGGCTCGGTAAAAAAAATTTTAAAGTATTATTGTAAGAGTTAAGAATATGAAAAAGTAAGTTAATTATAAAATAATGTTCTTCAATAATAGATTAACATCGACAAAAACAGAGTTTAGTTTTTATCATAATTTTCCTAGACGACGTTGGTGTCTTGCCACTGAAATGGCATTATTTGGATTAAACATCTTGTTCAATGGTGTAAATGTAATAAACATACCGATTGCCTGTAGAGGAAGAATAGCTGCATATGTAACAACTGTCATTAAAGCCACAGGCTGTCTACATGCTCCTTCCTATAAATAAAATCAATTCAAGAAAAAAAAATATCAATACTGAGAATGGAACGAAAAAATTTATAAAAGTTTTTGGATCCATTATTGAAACGTCACTAAGTAAAGGAGTTGATGTACTTGTGGTAGCAGTTGTAGCAGCTGAAACATATGAATTCATTAACTAATTTACTAAAACCAAAATAGTCGAATATTACTGGATGTAGAAGTTGTGCTTGTCGTAGACTCAGTAGTAGTTGTCATTATAGGATTGGTAGGAGTAGTAAGATGAACACCAGTAGTTGTTAACTTTAATTAACATAATACTATTTGTTACTATACGAACATTTATCAGAGAAAATTTTCTAGAATTCCTTCCATCCTCATATAAATAATATAATCACTGATTCACTTTATATCTTCTATTGATCTATAAAAATTGTTTAAAGAAAAATTCAGATCTTTTCAGAAAACTTAATTCTATCTTAAGGAAAATATCATGTTAAAATTCATATTTTTTCTATTTCAATCTCTACTAGCATAAGCAAAAACCCATATTAAAAATGACTATAATTCAATTTTGACAAAATTCAAACAAACTATTCTTCTTGCAATCATTTTTATTGTTCGATATTCTATTATATCCAATGTTGATGAAAAAATTTGAGGTATCCTCTTATTAAGAGTGAGATATAGCATTTTACCAATGTATTAACAGTCGGTGTTGATAACGGTCGAGTTGTTACAGTTCCTGTCGTTGGAGGTGTTGTCGTAGTTGTTGTTGTGCTTGATTAACCAGGATCCCATATATTGAAAGTCCAAAATGTTGGATCAGCTATTGGAGCTGATTCAGAACCTTAACGTATGAAAAACTCAAATATTGTCATATCTAATAAGTTAAATGCGAAGAAAAATTGCCAAACATACCACAAAATTCGATTCCACTGACCACTCCTGAAGAATTGTAAGATAATAGTAGAAAAAGAAAGAGTTATCATCTATATAAACTTACCACTATCAAAAAGAACATAATAACTACGTCCTGGAATCCATGAATAACTGGTTATGATACTGCTTGTATTTCCATAATATAATATATTTGATGCCCATCCTGCATCAAATACTCGTACTGATGTATTAGTTGAAGCATCCATAAACCTTATGTAAGTTCCATTTCGAGTCGGACGATGAACATCACGAGTAGTTATCAATAGATAAAGAATATTTTTCTATACATTTTAAAAATTTTGTTTATGAATAACAATATTATTCTCATTGAGCTAGAAAAATCAAGTAATAATTATTTATCAATTTTTATTCACATTTTTTCTTTCTATTAAATATAGCATCGTTCTTATTTAATTATAAATTATTGATTACAAATAATAATAATCTATTGAAATCAAAAAAAAATCTTTTCATTTTTATTTATTTACCTTGTATGGATAAAACTAAGTGATTTGAAAAAATCGTCCTATTGGTGAAGTAGTGCCTTGAACAACTACTGTTCGGATAAGATCTGGTGAATCGAATCCAACTAAATAAGTAACACACCAAGCATCTGATTGCAAATTACTGTTGTCAACAGCACCAGCACAAAATCCTTGTGGCAGAGCTGGAACCGGTAAGAAATCGAAAAACTGGTCCGGTTACAGAATGCTCTTGAACCGGTGAAATTCCGGCAAACCGGACAGCATACCATATAACTGACTGCGTCGAAATCGTCCCAAACACCGGAAAACACGTGGAGAAACGACGAAGTCAGATTCTACTCTTCACAGTATAGATTCAGATAGATTACGATTTTAAGTTTTCTCATTGGATCCTAAGAAAAGTATTTAGAAATATAGTTTGAAGAATTTCAATTCTTGACGAAGTATAATTAAAACCTGGCGATTCTAGAAAAGATATGCCTAATGTTTGCGAGTCATGGAGCATTTTAATTTTGTGAATAAGATCTCGAGAGTATGATGCAGTTTTGCGTGATCGTATCTATTGTTCCTTGGTAAATTTACGGACTTAAAAGGATATGCAAAATCGAAAATTCGTTTTTCAGTACTCTGCTTTTCTAGTATAAGTTATGGTTGTTCATGCTTTATTATCAAATCATCTTTTCATCATTGCTCATAAAAACAAAAGATAAGATATACAACAATATACAATCATATTGAAAAAAAATTATCAATTTTATTCCAATGTTAATAATAATAGTATTAAGATTCTTCATTAGATAGTGGGATAGTTGGCCACATCTTGTTGATGTATGCTTCTTTGAGCACTACAAGAGCTTCCACATATTCAGGATCAAGTGAACTTCTAAGTTCGGTCACTATTTGACCTGCCATAGAAAAGTGACGTTCACTTTCAGCTGAAGAAGCTGGAATCACCAACACAGACTTTGCAATTTTGGCGAGCAGTGAAAGATCATCTTTGTGACTGTACCAAAATGTGAATGGATTGTTGTCGTAACCGTCATCAACTTCCATATTTTCGTATATTTGAATTTGTTGATCTAATTCTTTTGCAAATGTATTTGTATCATGAATTGATGATTTTTGTGTACTTTTTTTAGTACGGAAATCAGCAAATGGATCATTTTTAATATGTTTTGATGATGTTGATGGTGAAGTACTTGATACATGTTGTGATTGTGATGAATGAGAACTGTCGAATTGCTGGATGATATTAGACGCAAGAATATGAAGACCTTTTCGAACTTCATTCTTTTGTGTTTCCAAATATGAACGATCTGAAACGAAAAAAAAAAGACTTAAATAGTGGATCTAAATACGTACCAACCCAATGAATCTGTAAAATCGGAGGTAAATATTTTTCATCAAGACAATATCTAATTTCAGATTTCAATTCTTTGATTATTTTATGATCATTCGCATTAATTTGAGTGTCGTTCATCATACGATAATAACTGGGCACGACATTTTGCAATGTCGGCTGATTGGCCATTTCGAGTTTGTCTAAAATCATTGAAAATGGTCGCATTAATTGAACTATTCCATTCAATAGAACAGGATCGATGTTGAATAATCGGTATTGTTCTTGTCTGTCACGTAGTATAGTATTGAGTTCTTCAAAAGAATCATTTAACGAATCATGAATGGTAAAATATGATCGCCAAGGGCGTGTACCACAACCACCTTTCAGTGTCTTTGTTAATTTATCCTGAATACCACTCGTTTGATTGGTATACTTACGTAATTCACGAACTGCAAGATTGAAGGTTGCAAACGTTGGATTTTTTGCATCTTCTCTACTCCAGGCTGTCTCAATAGTAGTATTACATCGGTGAGCCATGCATGGAATACGAGCTTCCTGGGTGATATTGAAGGCCGCAACCATGTTACTTCCTTGATCTGTGACGATCGGGGTATCGCCAAAAGATAAATTAAAAGATTCAAAAATGTATTTAATTTCTTGCCAAATATTCATACTTGTTTTACTGTCTTCAGGAAAATGCTTGCATCTTAGTAAGCAATGAAAAAGTTTATACTCGTCATTGGTCCAGAAAATCGAGAAATCAAGATAAGAACGTTTAACGTAATCGTCAGTCCACATGTCACATGTAGCTGCAACACAATGATTTTTAATTGGTTCAACAAGAATTTGTCGAATTGTAGTTGAAAAATGGTTGAATTTGACCATGCACTGTAAACTAGAAAATGAGTTATAGAGTTTAATCAAGGATATTCTAGGAATGCCTATATGAATTCGCCGATGAATTTCTAAATTCTTGAAAATAAGATATTCGAAACATTAAAAATATGAACTTTGATTTTCTAATTAGAAAATCAAGAGTGAATTCATATAGGCATTCCTAGAATTTCGGATTCGATATAGCAATTCGAGCATATTCTAAAAACTAGAAAATCAAATTTGATTTCCATATCATGATCAAGTATCTTTTATTTATTTTATTTCATGAAATAAAATAAATAAATAATTTTACTAAAGGAAAAATTCATTTGATGGAACCATTCATTAATATCATCGTAAATAAACAATTAAATAATCTAATTTAAATATAAATTCATTCAACTTTATTCATTCACTATAATATCATTGTAAATAAATAAATGAATAATCCAACTGAAATAAAAATTCTTTATTTAATCATTCTTTAATGTCATTGCAGATGGATAAATAAATAAATGAATAATTTAACTAAAATAAAAACATTTCATTTCAATCATTCATTAATATCATTGTACATAAATAAATAAATAGATGAATAAAATAACTAAAATAAAAAAACATTTCATTTCAATGATTCATTAATATCATTGTATATAAATAAATAAATAATTTAATCAAAATATAAATTTATTTCATTTCAATCATTCTTAATGTCATTGTAAATGAATAATTACATAAATGAATAATTTAACTAAAATAAAAAATCATTTCATTTCAATCATTCATTAACATCCTAACACTTCATAAAAAGAATATTGCTTAAAAAAATTTTTAGAAATTTTTCTTCTACCTCTTATGAGGAATAAAACTGCATGATTAAAAAATAATTGATTGTGT